TGTCTGAAAGAAGTTGTCTGTCCATACATTAAAGTTGACCAGCTATTAAAATGAACTTGTCTCAGCTCTTCCTTTGCTCCTACTCTGCACAGTGGAAGATGAAACAAAACCCTGTGACTAATCTGTTTATTTCTATACTGAACAAAGAAAGCAAGGACTAATTCAACTGCCTTTTAACAAAGAACAGAAACAAATACCAAGAAACGAGAATAACCTAAATAACTATGAGGGTCTACCACGAATTAAAAATATATTTTCAACAACTCCTATGATTAATTGCCAGGTTGTACTTCATGTAGCAATGTATACTTTCTGAAGGAAGTATAGGCAAGAACTAGGTGACAAGAAAAACAAGTTGAGAGCGCTACGTAGCTCTCATTTTAAAGCTCTTTACTCTGCAATCATAATTCAAAACTTTACTCCCTCCTTTCAAGATTATTTGGTCACACATTTTCCCTAGGGGAGATATCCTAGAATTAATGATTTAAGAATCTGCTACTTAGAGCCTGAGTAGGAAGTGTACCTTCACAGGAGCCATGTTACAGACAGGCATCTATACAGGTGTTAAAGTGCTATTTTGAACTTGGCACCGCAGCTTTCAGTCCATTCGCTCTGTATTTTTTCCCCATTTACAAGGCATCAATAAGGAAGGATAAGCAAAGCATTCATAAGAAGCTTTATACCACTGTCACAGTGGAACTAACAACCCTTCAGATCAGTTCCCCATTTTCAAAGGAAAAGTGCATTTGAGCACCCAGCCACCTGAACCTTTCCACAGCAGAAGCAGCATACTGCTCCGAGACATAACGTTCGGACAATATTCTGGTATAATGCAGCTCATTAAACTCAAGATGGCAGTATTTAACCAACTGATATGATTAGAAGCATCCTGTCTTCTTGCAAGGCCATGCTGTAGCAATCAGGAGAAATACAGTGCATGTGCTTATGAAGTCCAGGATTTCACAAGTACTCGGCCAATGAGCTCAGTTCTCCCAACACTTAAGACAGCAGTCAAGTATGCTGTGAAGGTGAACATCATGAGGTCACAGGATATGCATGATGATGCTTCTGTGAAAAGAAAGAACTTTGAACAGAGAAAAAATACTACTGTTCTTAAGGGAGCATGAACAAGACATCCTGTTTGCAGCAAGCTGCCTCAGATCCCCCTGCAACCAGCCAGCATGGTCAAGGCCTGCCGACAGTAATTTCCCAGCTGAACACAAGAAAGTATTTCTCTACTATAGTAATGTGACAATTTTAAACCAAAGATGTTATAAACCACACACTGAGCAAAGATTTGTCTAGATAAGTATTTTACTTCATGACTAGAACTTATATTTCTTTTATATTTAGTTTTTATGACAGCTACTGACACAGAGACAGAAAAGGATGAGTCACGAGCACATCTGCACAATCACATACAAGCACTCAAAGCCTTCCTGTTTCTCCCCAGGACCATTAAAAGCTTAACTTCCAAGAATGAACCTGAGGTTCCAGGGAAAACTCCTCACATGCTCTCTGCAGTTATACCATGTGCTAGCAAGCTCTTTTTAAAGCTAGCAATAATTGTCAGACAAGTAGAGACAAGAAACCCCTTAACTACAGAACAGCTCCCATTGAAGCAACATTTTCATTTGCTCCAAAAGAAGCCCCAAAGCCCTATTCACAAGTTATTATTCAAAAAAATAAGGCAGTCAAGCTACATCTTCTCTCCCCTGTCTCCCCGAGACAGACGGGTATCTACATTATGAGACTTGGAGCATTAAAAGCTGCCTGCTTGTTTTCTATCATCACTCAATAGTTCCAACCGCAAAATTCTCAGCCCACATTAAGGAAGGCTGAATTTAAAACAGACCTGAAAATTTAAAGTAGCAATACAGTATGCATGCAAAAGTTAACACTAAACGGGAATATACTTCCACCTCTCAATTGCAACAAGCAGTACCAGGCAGGAATTAGCAACCACAAACAGAAAAAGCAAATTTTTTTCTTATTCACTAGAAACGTTATTATCGTAAAACGAACTGTTAACAGACACATTCCTCCTTCGAAAACAGCATAAGAGAAGCAAATCCCGCCAATATTTTTTTAATAGCACGTAACAGAAAAAAGGAAAGTGTTTGTAGCAAAGCAGCGTTGGCAGCTGTAGTCTCAAAGGCTAGTAAGACGACTACAGTGCTCCCTCTAGTGACAATATATATGAGCGAGTTACTCGCCCGCCGTTAAAATGACAGCAAACGTGTGGTCAAACTAAATTTCAGCTACAGCAATAAATCTTTCTCCGAGAAACTTTGTAGCAATATAGCAGGTACTTCAACTGAAGCAGCATTTGAAGGACTCCACAACTATGATGAATTATCACACTTAAGCCTCAGGAATGTGGTCTACTTTGAGAAACAAGCTTTTACACCAGCAATGCTGCCACTTGCAAGCCACTGCAGCATGTAGAAGAGCATGAAGTGAGGTCTCAGAGCAGAAATGGGGATCTGAATTTAAATCTGATCTCAGCACCAGAGAAACCATTTACAAGAGATGAATGTTCTGAAAGGAGATGAAAAAGAAAAATTTCTATCGAGTAGAACAGAAGATGCTTAGGAGCACACATGAAGGATCTCCAGAAACCAAACTGTAACTTTCTCTGTACGGGAAAATGTTTGGAACACGTGTATAGTTCAGGCCAGTAGTAAGAGAGGGCTGCGGAGAGCATGATCATAGCCAATGCCATCTTCCCCTATCAATTTAGTAAAGGAAGTTTATCAATTTGTTTTGCTAGTGTGGAAATTTTGGTTCAGTTTGTGCCCAGATAGCATTTGGCCATCAAATGAGAGTTTCTCATTGCTGTGAAACTTGATACAGGATTGATAAATGAAGAAATGTTTAAGGAGGCATAGTAAGAGATCCACAACGTGCATTGTTTAGTTGTGACTGCATGACCTCACCTGACAGACAGCTGCTTGCAGGAGGTACAGCAACTCATCCACGCAACTGTTACCTTGGTTGTGAACTGCCACAACAGGACTGACTAGGAAAGTTCTGAAGTCCAAAGCAGAGCAGACCAGCCCACTGAAATCCTGTGATTCAGAAAGCGTAAGTACCAACTTCCCTGCAGCTTCTAGGTGCTATCCAGGGAGCAGTAAGTCCTTACTGCATGTGACCACCACAACGGGTCAAGGCCCTTGGCACATTTCAGGGGGTTTGGCTGCAAAATACTGTGCTGTCACTCACCTTTGTGTGAAAACAGACAAAAAAAACCAAGCAGGTTGCTGAAAGTAAAGCACCACAAGAGCAGTAACTTCTGCAGTTACATTCTGCATCCTCCCACAAGTCCACAATTAAAGGTCTCTGCCAGCTTGACAGGACTTGCTGTGATATGCAGTGTTTCCGCCCTCATCTGTCCCTCTCCATCCTTCAATATCTACAGAAACAGGCTAAGATGGCAACATCTGGTCAGTTTTAACTTCTTTAAGTGTTTGATGAGAATCAGCTTCCATAAGCATTTGATGAGCCTTAGCTGGGATAACAAGGCAGTTTAGATCCCTGCAGGAGACTTTCTGAACACTGAAGAATACATCCTTACACCAGCTATTCTCTTCTCTGGTTTTCAGGATATTTCTGCTGGATTCCAAGGGGAAGAAGGAATTTTCAGTATCGCAGAAGGCAAATTTGGTTCAGGGACTACACAGAACATACAGGCTGGCAAGTGTCCTGTTGCCTGCTCACACTGGTGCTTGCAAACCCATTGTCACTGCCATGTCCTCACTGGTGCTGCTTGTCTTGCTGTGCATCACTGCAACCTTCTGGTACCACCAAGCATACCTGCTTCTGCTGTAGCAAACGAGATCTGGATGTACAGCAGTGACACAGTGGTGCCTGCGTGACGAACTGTAAGGCTGTCAGCTTTTAAGTCCTGTTAGGGATTTTAAACATCCCAGGATAGGTGGTGGTTTGATGGCTATGGGTACTGAGGGTGACAGCAGAAGATTCAGAGTTATTGCTGGCAACAAAAATGATTACATTTCCTATACCCACAGCTATAGAGTATATAGCATAGAGATAAAAAATTCTCTGGCACAGAAATCAAAACTAAGGACAGACAGCTTTCAGTACAAAATCTTGGGTTATACCAATCACAACAAGTAACTGTTTTCCTGTGAAACAATTCTGATCAGATTTTGTGGATAACAAACCACAATAGTTAAGGAGGTACTGGTTAAACTTTGTCACAAAGAATAATGAACATGTGCCACTTTTATTTGTACTTTCTGCCTGAACAGTGAGTATGCAAGCCCTGTATAAGAATCCCCCTGCTCTGAAGATACCACAGTTTCAGATTATCTTTGCTATGTCATCAATTTTAATTCCAACCTGTACTTCAGTATGCACATAACTATTTTCAAATACAATGAAAACTTAAAAGTCAATAGCATCCGTCACCAGCATTGCAGCTTTCAGTAAATCCTTCACAACTTCAGAAAAATCTCTATAAACATTGTGTAAAGTAGATACAGAATGTACAGAGGACAGTTTTCTATACAAAAGTGCATTTCAGCAATACAATTAGCAGAGAACCAGGGGAAAAAAACTAACTCAATTTAAGCAGTACCATATACTCTAATCTATACTCCCATCTCATCCCCCCCCCAACCCATCAAACCCCCACTTCCCCCTTGCTTTGGTTATGAACTATATTCAAGGCTTCAATATTACTTTTTTTTTTTTGATTGAAGAATTTATTTGTAATTTGGAAGTGTTTTAAAGTTAGCCAGATGAAAGAGAATGCAAGTATGATTAATCAGAGTTAACAGTCAAGATAGAGTTTTGAATATTACTAGGATTTGCCCTTGGTAGATTAATAAACTATCTTTGCAATCCTCGAATGGAAAATTGCATGTTGACTTGTCTTTTCTATGCCCAAGAACTGCAAGACCAGTAAGCTAAAGAACATTAAACCAATGAATCTAAAAACACTTGCCATGAAAATCTGGCTTATAAGAATGAACTTCAAGAGCACCCAAAACAGTCAGGTTTATTAATATTTATAGACCAATGCATCAACTGATTTCAAAGCTAAAACTGTGTTAGGAGAAAAAAAAAATGGCTTCAGGCCATTCAGCATAGATGAACAGTAAATATTGCCATTTTTATATGTTTCTATATTGTATATGCTCTCTGATGTAAATGCATATGAGTAAGTTCAAGCAAGCTGGTTTGTTTTTTCCCCAGAGAATGATCTTCACAGGTTTCAAACCACAATATGCAAACTAAAAGTTAAGCCCAGGGAAGTCTTGCAAAGACTCTTCTTGCTCTTCTTAGTAAGCATCCCGTACTGAGCATACTATAACCATCTTTCAGTCAGTTTCCCAGATAAAGAAAAATAGATATTATCTTAACAAAGGATGACATTAGATACACAGACAAAAATTAAGACAGGTTTGTCAGGCAGCTAGTTTTCTTCCGCATATTTAAAATCATATTAGAAAAGAATGTTCTCTATTGTTTACAGTCCTATTGCAATCAGACTTTCAGTGCTCCTTCTAAGCCTTTTTAGAGAAAAAGTTACCATGGAAGCAAACTGTTAACGTTACAGAGTGTAAATTGATTACATTCATATTACAGTGAGTACAAAGCACCTAGATATACAGCTTCAGTACCATGGAGCCACACAACTGAGCCTTCTCGTGTTTGTCTCTATTTTGTTTTTAAGCCTAACATGTTTTATCTATGAATAAAAAGCATAAATTTGATTCTTTTTTGAAAAAGCACTAAATAAGAATGCATGATTTTAACACTCTGTTACTCTTCTTTATCTATCTGAATCTGTAGATAACTTCCTGTAAAACAAAGCAGTAGCCACAATGGGCAACACTTGAAACAAGAAAGACCAGGTTTAACTAAAATTCCAACCGTTTGACTAATGCCACGGGTACCCAATACAAATTCACAGAATCACAGAATCATTTAGGTTGGAAAAGACCTTTAAGATCATCTAGTCCAACCATAAACATAACACTGCCAAGTCTACCACTAAACCATGTCCCTAAGCACCACATCTACATGTCTTAAATACCTCCAGGGATGGTGACTCAACCATTTCCCTGAGAAGCAGAAAGCATATTGCAGGGAAAGACAAGAATATGACAAAAATCACCTCCCCCCTCCATAAAATGAGTGTGTCACTAGAACTAAGAAGGATGAAAAAAGAAAAAACCCAAACATGTAGAAGTATGTAAGAACTCTTGAATCCCACAGCTACTTCAGGCCTGATGCTCTAAGATACCAAGTACTTGGCAAAGACCAACATTCAGGCAAGCAGGATGTTATTCTGCATTCTTAACAGAACATTCAGAGTTTTGTATTCTTAGGTTATAAGCATTCTGGGACTAAGAGATTACAGAGCTAACAAGTGACTGAAGTACCCAGCTGGAGACAACTTACTACAATCAGCTCCTGTGGCACCCAGGACCTTTTCATCCAATGTAACAGATGAGCAACTGGACCCATCTAATCACTTGGATTAATTTACACTTATGTGCTCACACTAAGATCAAGATGGAAATACTATCCTCCCTCATTTCATGATCTCTGGAAGCTAGTGGACAGGTAACCAAAAAGAACTGTACCTCATCAAAACAAGGGGGTCTTCTCTCAACAAAGCCTGAGGGATTTTAAACTCTGAAGAACTGCTGAAAGAGAATAAAGTGACACACTTTCAATGCTCCACCACACTGAGATATTGCACCTTTCTTACAATTCATTTCAGAGTCTCAATTCTCTACAGGATTAAGCATATATTTTTCTTCAGGGAGGAAAAAAAATCACATTTTAAAGTCACTGCAGAAAATAAAGGTTATACTGTACTGAACTGTGACAAGTGTACACACAGTGAAATGTTTCATGATGAATTCATCCACTACAGCCATGGTAAGCTGCAAGAGTTCAATGACTGCACCCTGAAATCAGCTGAATTGACATCAATTCAATTTTTTCTTACATCAACGATATTTAAAAAAAAGCTCCAGATTTAAGACAATATAAGTTCTCAGTAACTTGTATACTGTTAAGAAGTTTTTGTATTGTTTCTACAGGGGGAAGGGAGGCATCAACCAGCTATAGTGCAGTACAAGCAAATACTGACAGGTAACAGTCCTCGCTGGTTAGTGGCCAAATAACTGGCCATATGGGATAGCTAGCACTCAAGTTTAAAATGACATTACGTAGCTTTTAATCAGTCAGTGGACAAGTCTGGGTACCTGCTGTCTAGCAGTTGTAAAGAGTGACTAAGTTCACACACACTAGTTTGACTCACTTATTTCTAAGACCTTTCAGAGGCCATTGTTCAGATACTTTAACCAGCAGTTTATTTTGAGGCTGCAAGGAATACCACTTCTGAAAGAAAAATACTTCAGCTGTCAGGGCTAATAAGTCTGTGCAGGACATGCAAAATGAATGTAAGGAGTCCTATATAAAGTTGATCACGCAATTCTGTAGGATTTGGCTAGATCCTGCCATTACAGGCACCTGTGGCCACACTGAACTGCCAAGCTCCTTAATTCACAAGAACAAAATGAAAGTAATTAAGCATGATGATGATGAAAAATTACTTCCTAAACTCAAAACTAGAAAATAGTTTCAGAATCTTTTAAGTTTCACATTGAAATTTAGAAGTATCATTTTTAGCTCAGCTCTGAAGGGAAGGAGTTCTGTAACAAGTAGTTCCAAGATAAAGGCAAAAGCCAGCTTACAGATTGTCAGAATTAGGAAACAGATTAAAACTACTTTTACCTCCCTACCCGAAAGCCACAATTTTACCTCATTTTCTTAGCAAGAGAAATTTCAAAAGTAGATAGACAACAAAAGAAGAACTCTGAAACATGTAATGGTGTAACAACCCACACAGAAGAAACATCCTCAGCTAAACATACAATTAAAAAGCACAGCTGCATTAATTAAATTCTCCTGCCAACTTGAATCTATTTAGAAATGCTTCTGGGGAAAAAAGCCACCAAAGTTGTGTGCCACTTGTTTGCACTTCTGTTTCCAGTATCATTTTTAACTATTGTAAGTAGTGTCCTAGACATCTTAGTTGCAGATTAGTGTACTTTCAATGCATAAAGATGTTTTTATTTGAGTTTTTTCGTAGCAATACTAGGGATATACTGGTGAACCATTAGTAATAATCATACTATAAGATATTGAGCAGCAAAGTAACTTTCTGAAGACTAAGCTTGCAAGTCGTTTTTTTCTGAATTCTAATTACTTCTTAAAGAACAACGTTATTAGGCATTATCTGTGCCCGCTTCTTACTTTCTGTGTAGTTTTTTGAGTTAAATCACAACTTCTAAAGAAGCCTTTATCACAGTACTTTGATTTTGCAAGATCCAAGAGCAAGACTTGAAGAAAGCCCTATAGAACGGAAGATTTTTTTCCTGTGCTAAAAAATCCTCCTAATAATGGGAAAGGAAGACAGAACAAGCCAAGTGTAATATTAACTCTAAGTTGGAAAAAACAAAAAAGATGAAGCATAGTAATGCATGCCTAGTGTCATTCAAAAGCACCCTTAGATTTACATCTTGTGAGAAAGATAGCATGTTAGCCAAGTTAAAATTTCCTTAAAATTCTATCTATTCAGCAGCTTTTCAGAAGACAGTTAAGTTTCTGAAGTCTTTGTTGCAAAATTAGTCTCAAAAAGCTGAAGTTACTCAATACTTAGACCTTCTTACCAAAATTACGCTTGAGAAAAGATCTGGTTTATACTGTTAACACTAATCAAAATTTGGTCAAGAAATATATGTAAACAATAAAGATAATACATTTAAGGCTTAGAAAGAACACTGATAAATTCACCCCTGTCACATTAAAACATCCACATCTCCTTCATGGTCCTCCTCAGTCACTTTTAAAGAGAGCACTTCTTCATTAAGAAATAATCCACTCAGTCTTTCCTTACGAGCTTGTCTTTGTTCTTTCAGCTGTCTCTTGCGTAAGGCCTTTTGCTGTAGTTTCCGTTGCTTGGAACGTTTCTGCCAAAATACAGAAGAGAAAAAAATAAGATTTTGTTCTGTAGATTAGATACCACCTTTAAAAGCTGGCAAATATAAATTAACATCTAAAATAATGTCTGCTCTGAAAAATAACTAAAATGAATTCTCAGAGGTGGTGCAAACATTCATCCAAAATTGTATCCAACATTAAAATACCAAGACCATTTACCACGTCTGAGTTACGAGGCACAACATGGGATGTTGCATAGCTGAGTCTTTGACTGGAAGAATCTTTATTATAGGGGAAATGTTACAGTTTTACAGTAACAACCTGACATGTTGAAGAGCAAGCTGGAACTGCTCCTCCCCTTCAATCTTGGATTTAAGGAGAGAGGACAAATGCCTCAGTAATTCAATTTCAATATGCTTCACCAAGTAATCTCATGAGACATGTTGGGAAAATAAACTGCTGAAGATTCAAAAAGCCTAATGAAACTTCTAGTTGGGAAAAAAACCACAACCAATACAGTCTGCTATCCAAAAATTATGCCTAGATTAGGTTGATCAGTCTTGAATTTTTTTTTTTTTTTTGGTAAAACTGTGTTCATTCAAAGAATTAAGTTAGATGCATAAGCCCTTATTCAAACCCCACTCACCTTATTCTAAACAAAAGTAACGAGAAGATCTACTACATACAAACATCAGGTTTTCACTCAGAAGAGAAGTGATGGGAAGAGCACAAGTTTAAATTCCTTATGGCTATGTCAGAGGAAACAGTCAGCACTGGTTTAGCCAGATAACTTCAGCAGATCCTCAGTTACTAACCATGCTCCTTCAGTACAAATATCCCAGTTAAGATCACATAAGCAACCTTAACAAGTTAGACAGCTTAATGCACATGTACATAATTAGAAACTTTACTTTTGAATCCCGGATTCTTTCTGCAGCACTTGTGGACAAATTACTATCACTGTGCGCTCGACTCATGTTGGCACTCGAGTTTGAAGCGGAGTTAGCAACACTAGAACCACTGCTGCTTGCTGAGCTGACCATGCTGGCACTGCTGCTGCTGGCACTGGCACCGCTCACACCACTGGTACTTGCACAACTGTAGCTACTCCTCTTCCAGCTTTCTCTTCCAGACCGTTGACGAGGTCCATGTTCCTTGATATAGTTTCTCACCTTTAGAACAGAGGCAGCAGAATTACTAAAACCTGATAAATACTGTACAGAGATACTCCTTTTCATGGAAAAAACATAATTTGCCTATTAATAATTATCAAGTTATTGGACCAGTTCAGTTAGTCTTAAAACATTTTGCTGTGGCTGTTTAAATCCTAACCCATCTGGCAGTCAAGAGAACTTAACTAAGAACTAAGTTAATATTAACTTCATTATGGAATGAAGAAAACTAACTAACAAGATTTGGGGGTTTTTACCCCTATCCTGCCCCATAAATTTTCTACCACATAACAGTAAGTTATAGTAACACTAAACACAATTATCAGTCAAGTTCAACTGAACTAAGTTGGTTACCTAATGTATCAAACCCCTTTATTTTGATATGTATACTCAAAGATGGGTGTAAGGAAAGCGGTACTTTTCTACTTTAAGATAACACTTATAAAACTTTCAAAACATTAAATAGGCCAAGCCCGTAAGAGCAGTGAATGTTTTCCCTTTTCAATCTTTACCTTCATCACAATCACAGTAACACTGAGGAGTTCTACTTGTTTGGATACTGCATCTTTTCCCAACTCACATCCCAATAGCACAAAGACTAAAAGGCAGTAGCATGTATCTACATCAATCAAGTACTCTGTTGTAATTTCTATTTTGTAACATCTTTAACACACATTTTTCTGTATCCCTTTTTACATGAAATTTATGGTCTTCCCCAATAAATTCCAATCCTTCGGAGTTTTAAATGTCAGTTTATATCTGGCGAGTAAATGAAGACCCTCAAGCAGTTGATGGTCATGAAGTAGAATACGCTTTGTCATAAGTGGTACTGAGTCCACAGCTTAACTCACTACACACACACACACACACACCAGTTTAGGCTTAACGCATATTGAGAATATATAAACACAGTCTTTCATATAAAGGTTTATTACACACAATATGCTTTTGAACTCTATTTTCCCTCATTGACAATATTGTGCTCTAGTGTATCTCCCTGTATCTAATGACTATGTATAAAAATTGATCACAACTCCATAAGAGATTTTGCAAGACATACCAGATGCTGAAACCCCAAAGTCAAATGTACAAACCTTAACTCACCTGTTTTAGTTTTTCATCTGTGAGACAGTTCAATTCAATAATGAATTCACTATCTGTAGGTGAGATCTGAGCAGTAGGATCAATAATTTTAATAATATCAAGTTGCTCTCGAAGGCCCATCTCTGTACTGACTTTGCGACTCAAATATTCAATATATTCAACCTAGGACCCAAAGAAAGGCAGTATTAAAGTAGTATTGATTCTAAATGAAAAAAGCAAGGACCAACAGAATAAAACATGCTCATCGAGTATTCTCAGAAACTCAGGGTGAGAACCTGCGTAGACGTTAAATTGCCTACTACAGATGCAGAAGACAAGAAGATTTAGTTGCAATGATCCAGTAGTCCTGAATAGGTCTACATTTACACCTATAGCAATCAGTATGTCCTTTAAGATGTGGCACAAATTGAAAGATCTTCTGTATATTACAGTTCTCACAGAGGAAAAAAGTCAATTTCACCTGTTCATCATTTGTCATTGCACTCCATGGAAGTTCATCAAGATTCCTATGCTTGTTTTTCTTTTTTGGAAGCAGACAAGGAGAGCTTGGAATACTAGGTATAACATCGGAAAGTACATCACTCCCACTTGTAATGTCGCTGCCAGGCAACTTGTAATATGCAAGAGAAAGAACAAAGCCTTAGAATACAGTAGGTAGATTTAAAATCATTCTAACACTATTAACAATTCAAAACATACTGTCAAATTAGCAAAGCATTGCTTATCTATGTACTCTAACAACTTAATAATTACTCATAATCCTGCAGAGCTCCTTTGAACCTTCCAACAAACAGCAAGTGCAGCAAACTTGATTCACACTATTCTCTGCTTATCAATCCTCTTTTTAAAAATTTGCATTTAAGAAAACAGCAGAATGATGTGGCATTTCAACTATTCCCCTCCTCCATCAGTGTAAATTGTCCATTACAATCCAAACCTGAATCTAAACTTCCCATTTTAAAGCATAAGTCTAGTTTAAGGAAGATCATTTCAAAGTAGGTTTGTAATTTATACCACACCCCACAATTACACAAGACAATTTAATTAAAATCACTGTCATTTTCCTGGAAGCAACTGCAGAACTTTAGCTAGCTTCATTTATACAACTGACATATAACTTCTGAATGCACTTCCAGTCTAAGCGTGACAGTTGGATTACTTATGCTCAGATATTGCCAGATAACACCATAAAGAGCCACAGAAAAGTCTTTCCAAAATTCTACACATCCAATCAAGTATGTCTTTTAAAACACGCTTGTTTTAATAAACAAAGATTAATGAAAAAAGCTAGTTACTAATCAAACATGCTGCCAGCTAAGACACGGGAGATCGCTTCTTTTCAAAACAATTGCCAAGTTTATCAGGCAATTAAAATTTCACAACTCGACAAAGCTGACTCTTCAGGATCCAATCTGAGTTGTTCCTACAGGCTGCATTATACAAATGCACTTGTAGCTTCTATGATACAGTATACATAGAGACTAGCAGTTAGACTAAAACAGTGAGAAATTCAGAGTTAGTCCATGTTATCTTAAATTCATTTGCATCTTCTGGAACAAGATTTATGCTTTCTTGAAATCAGTGTTTTCAGTCCTTATACTGCATTTCAAAGGCTCTGTATATGTTCTGACTAAGCTTTACGACAAAATTTAAAAGCATTCCTCAGTATATTCTGAAGCACCATGTTTCAAAGTTATGCATACATTCGCAGTTGATTTAAGTCCATAATATAAAAAGTCAATTTAAGTCTATAATATATAAAAAGATTTGCATATCACAACTGCAAAACTGCTGAACAAAGACTACTACCACAAACTAGAGATACCTGACCTGGACTGCAGACTAGGAAAAAGGAAGGCGTGATTCACCTTCGCATTTCTCCCATCCTGATGGGACAAAGTGAGCTCTGTACTCTTACTGGCACAGAAAAAAAGATGGAAATAGGCTATGGCAAGAGCTTCTACATTTTACCTAGGTGCCAGCTCCATTCCTAAGGAAGGTTTAATACAACCTAATCACTGGAAGCAGACACCTATAACCAGATTTCATTAGTAGGGCAGATGCTCAGTACAAAGGATCTGAGCTCATGCTTACAAGACATGTGTTGTCACTAAACCCAAACTACTGTAATATGTAAGCATCCCTCTTTGAAGAGCTGGCCTTCAGTCTCTCCTCCAGATTAAGAACGTTGGAACAAAATGGAACAAAACATTTTCTTTATTGCTGAAGATTCAGATATCTGCTCTTAGGTTCAGTAGTTACCAAGACATAAATGCCAAGCAAGGTCTTTTAAATTAAAGCTAAACCCAGCACTTAATAGTCTATACAAAATTTTACATTTACAGTGGAACTAGTTTACCTGCCACTCAAACTCACTGTCTGACCAGTCCCAGTATGTGCTGATCGAAGAAGAGACATCACTGCAGACACTACCCTCGGGGAACAAATCAAAAGAGGTGAACTCCTGGTCATCCAACAGAGAATAGCAGTCGTCTTGATCACCAACTGAAACCGATGAGAACAGCTCCTCGCTGCACTCTGAGCTGGCTACGCTGGTTCCACAGGACGTCAAGTTCCACCTGCAAAACAGGACAAAACAGAAAGAAGGAAACATATTGTCATCATGTATGCTGATAAACTCTTTTCAGCTTCATAAAACTATCTCCACATTGCTTGTCAGTAACATTATACATTGATTTTATTGAAATAAGTTATAATTATGTAAAATCAAGTAGTCTATTTTAAAATATTTTTAAAGGTCCCTAAACAAGACCAAAGGGAATTCAACATTAAAAATGGCAAGGCAAAAATCCACAGACAGTTAGTATAATTACATCTTTATTCTAATACATTAACAGTTTCCACTCCAGAGCCATGACTCCTGCAGTGTGTAAATTGTTTGTTTGGTGGTGGGGAGGGTGTTGGTTGTTTTTTTAAATACATTGAACTAAAAATATAACTTCCCATAAGCTGGGATATTTAACTTTCCATGTAAATTGAAATAAGCAAAACTCAGAAGTAAATCAACTGGATTTCAGAACAAATAGAAGTAAAAAAGAAATTCCAGGTTGATAATCCTACACAAAACTAAGGCTTAATAAAGAAACGCATAGATACACACAAGGCTCCATTATTCACTATCTTCAACTCTGAATGCCAAAAATATTGGACGTGCTGTTGGAATGAGACAGTGCAAGATGGGAAAATGACCTCTGTGAAAATGCTACCATGCCAAAACTAAACATTTTTTTCCTCTCAGAATTTCATTTTAAAAGCTAGTTAATGCTGTTGCTAAAGGAAAGCAATTGAGGACTCAAACTTCACAGAACAGGTTTTTTCACTCTGAGAGCAAGTCAGAATTTAACAAGCTCATGAAATCAGTCTCCATATCTGGATTTATTTTACATATTGGTGAAAAGTAGGTCGAGACAACTATGAGTCAGCACAGCACTGCAATACGGCCAAAACAATTTGAAAAGGGCTTCTAACATTCACCACACAAACCCATGTGATCAACTCCTATTCCATCAGCCTATACACCTCAGCCTGGCTAACTACAAAAACATTCCTCTACCCAACTGCAAAAGCTGAGCAATGCCATCATCCAGAAAGGCTGGTCCTCCCTATCGTTATTTAAGCTGTACACAGGTTGGCTAAATATGTTTGTGATTCCCACATCTATCTAGCCAGCAGTGAATTCATCCAATGTTAAAGACGTTTCAAAAACTTGTCTTTTAGCAGATTCACGATATCTTGCCCTCCCTCCCTTTCTGCATCCCTTAAACATGTGTGATGTTTTACTGGCACAGACTTTTGTGCACAGGGCAATCAAGTGGTATAGAATAGAATATGAGTGGTGACACAGCATGCTTCTGAACACTACTACAGTTGCAGTACTCATGAAATATCGATGAAAGGAAAGATAGAGTGGACAAATTTCCAGACCCATCAAAACACATATGAAGCACAGGGTGTCTAGCACCAACCAACTACATACAGATACCCCAGGTACACACTATCACTGCAGGGACAGGCAGTTAGCCCTCCTCTTCTCATACCTAGGGGGCCTGCTGCACTTGCTGGGGTGAACTGGATTAACAAGAGGAGGGAACTATATTGAATAGCTTGTAACTTTAAAAAATACAAAGTTTTATGCGAACACCACAGATTGAACCATGCATCTGCAATGGCTTAAGCAGTGCAAGACGAGGCATGTCCTTGCCTAGAGGTGAAACACTTAAGATGCCTGGGTTTGTAAAATAAGTGAGCCTGAATAACACACTCAGGAAGTGAAAGGCAATGCAAAGAGAAAAGTACAAAATTAATTACAGGCAATTTGGTGAATATACACGTTTGTCTTACAGATATGCTACGAATACATCTTACTGTTCGTGTCACAATTGGGTCTTATAATGCAAGAAAGTGTATCATATTTGATCAAGGCTCTTCAAGCCGAATCATTTAAGAATATGTAATTAAGAGCACGCCCTTGTGAGTGACACTTTTAAAGTGTCATTTCCACGATTTCACACAAATTCAGTTGAAAAGTTAGCTGATTATTTACTCTTCATTATGGTGTAGCAGAAACACTAATAACCAGTAAAAGTATTTTGCAGCTCTGGAACACGCACTAAAACTATCCCACACATATGTTCGAGACTGAAAGCTCACAAACTGTTTTCAAAGAAAGCTATTGCTACATTCAAGTTTAATACTATGCATAAATAGTAGCAGAATTAGGGTCTTAGGTAAGCAGCACAGTGGTTTTGGTATTATAAGTACAGCTGGAATTTCTTTGTAGAGCTGCATTTGCATTTTTAGAATAGACCTTTTCTACAGATTACAGACATAATAATTTGCGCTTAATTAGTAGCATGGGATGGAAATGTTTCTGCAGGAATCAGTGCAGTCACCAAGACGCCTGACTCATTGTGAGCCTCTCCAGGTTTGCTTGGTGTCGATGCAGGGCCTGCTTTTAATTATTATAAGCTCATCACTCTCTAGTTGCCCATCCTACAGCGCTCAAAACTGCGTTTTAAGAAATTCGGAAAGGAATAAACACATCTCAAAAACGATCCAGGCTCGCACTAACAACATAAATGTCATCAGTTAAAGCCAGACTAAGCTCACACACCACCCTGTCAACGGGAAGGGGCGTTCGAGCGGGCTACCGGGCGCACCCGCCGCGGGGCGGCAGCTTGAGCCTGAGCGAGGAGGGCTGCCTGGACGTCAGCGACTTCGGCTGCCAGCTCTCGTCCTGCCACCGCACCGACCCGCTGCACCGCTTCCACTCC